ATTGTAAAGAAATAAAGTTGTGTTGTAATGTTTATGATTGATGGGGAAATGTTCCGATCTTTTGCATTCCATGGCAACTGAGAGTGTGAAATGTTGTACTTTTGTTTCAAATTCCTAATAGCTTTTGCTAATCAAAGCCCCAAAACTAGTAAGGGCACTTGTGCCCATATAAGTTATACTTTTGCCGACTAAATAAAGTAGTCAGTGTGTCACCAAGCACATTTGGCGACTAAATAATTAGTCGTTAAAATTATTAATTTTGGCAACCAAATGATTTGGTCGCGAATAGGTCTATTGCCGACTAAAATTTTAGTTGCGCAAAACATGTTTGGTCACGAAATGTGACAATTGGCGACCAAATTTTTTGGTCGCGGAATGTCACAATTGGCGACCAAAATTTTTTTGTCGTGGAATGTCACAATTGGCGACCAAATTTTTTGGTCGTGGAATGTCACAATTGGCGACCAAATTTTTTGGTCGTGGAATGTCACAATTGGCGACCAAATTTTTTGGTCGTGGAATGTCACAATTGGCGACCAAATTTTTTGGTCGTGGAATGTCACAATTGGCGACCAAATTTTTTGGTCGTGGAATGTCACAATTGGCGACCAAATTTTTTCGTCGTTGAATGTGATAATTGGCGACCAAAATTTTTGGTTGCGAAATGTGTTAATTGGCAACTAAGATATTTGGTCGGGAAAATATCACTTTTCGCGATCAAAGTGTTTTAGCGACTAAATGAATTAGTCGCGGTAATGATATATTTAGCGACCAAAAATTTAGTCGGCAAATCCGACTTTTCCCGACCAACCAAAATTTTGGTCGCGAATTACTTTTGTTGACCCTCAATTGGCGACCAAAGTAGCGACCAAAAAAATTGGTCGCGGATAACTTTTTCCGACCAAAAATAGGCTTTTAACGACTAATTTTTTGGTCGGCAAAAGTGTTAATTCTTGTAGTAAGAGATGGGAGAAGATGAGATGATGATGGTAGCGATGATAGCCTCCATGGATTATCAAAAGTTGCTTGTCTTAGTTCGTAACCTCTCTAGTGCAGTCTTCAAAAATTTAGAATCCTAGAAAAGCCTATTTTTCTTCCTTTTATTCTCAGAAAAATCGCACTGAAATTTCTGCGCATGCTTCCCAAGGTTGGTTGTCGTTTGGGTGCTGAAGTTGGCCGCTCTAGCAGTGGTTGGCCACACGTATGGTGACATTTGGCCGCACGTACAGTTGGCTGGGAGGTGGCGAATTTCCATTACTTGAGCAGAGAACCTGTTGGTGTGCTACTTTTTGGCTTGAAATTGCATATTCACCAAACCTGCACGAGTACACAACACATATCATTTCTACCAAATAGCTGTACTTCAAGAACTATGAATTACAACTTAACTAGTCTCAATATGGTACCTTTTAGCCAATATCAATAACAAGTAAAATATAACTATACATATCATTACTATAAGTAAAATATATAAGATTATCATATTATTACTATTTTCGGATATAAATTTAGGAGAAATTACCACTCAATGTTTTACAAAATAATTACAAATTTATGAAAAAGTTTAAGACTTTAATTTTTAATGTATATAAACTTTACCACTAATTTAAAATTATTTTAAAAAATTTAAACTAAATAGTAATTGTCCCATAAATTTTTACATATGCATTTGAATATAGTGTTAAACAGTAGGATTCTCTTCAATAATTTTCATGGAAATTTGGAATCTGTATCATTTGTCCTAGTTATGTCGATATATTATGGTGTTAGTTAGGGCTTAATTACGATTCATTGTAGTATTAATTATGACTCATTATGATACTAGTTATGAATTTTTTTTTTAGTTATGATTAATTATGACTCATTATGATATTGTTTATAATTTTTTTTAATTATGATTAAAAAGGTGTTCAATATAGTAAAAATACATTTCATTATAACTCTTATTTTATTTTATTTTAATTGTGACTAATAAGGATCTAATTATAAATATTATAATTTATGACACCATTTTAAAGATATGTAACCATAACATGACCCTTCATTTCATCACTAATTTCGAAAGAAAAGCAAGAGCAGCAAGTTGTCATTGATGTGTCATCTTTTGTTAGCCGTTTGAAATGGATCATAGTCATTGAAAAGTCTTGTGCTTATTGTGGTCGATGTATTTATTTATTTTCACCCATAAATTATAAAATCCATTAATAGATAGGATGTAGACAAAAGACATCAACTTGTTGAATGCCCTTCTTTACAAGGCAAAGGGTCCCCCATAAAGGAGATTTTGATATTTTTTTTGTTTTTCTTGTCATATTTATATGTCGAGTAGTCCATTTCATTTTTCATAATTATATTAATTGAATGGGCCTCAATACTCATGTTTGTATCTAATACAATGATGACACGTTACATGATAAATCAAATATGTTATATAAATATGATCATTGCAGCATTACTTTTATATTTATGTTTTATTAGATCCTTTTACGTAATTAAATATTTAATTAGTTAATTACGACTAATTCAATTAGTCATTTTTCTACATTCTTAGTTGGAAGATAGCCAAAGTATTTCTTCAATTAGTGGTGGACGTTAGAATAGAATTTTGAATAACTATTAAACTGGCAGAAATGTTTGGGACCCCCTTTTTTGGCGGTTCTATAACCCTTAAATTGATCTTGGCTTTTATTGTGTATGTGGGGTCCACTCATGTATCTGTGAACCCCACATTATGAATAGTTGGGATGAGAGTAGGGGTTATAGAGGTTATTTATGTATGAGAGTTTGTATTACAATTGATTAAAAATTACCAAACATGACCTTCATAGGTGGAGCTATGATTGGAAAGTACTGCTCTTGAGAATTTTTTTTGGTTGAAAAATGTTATGAATTTCAAATAATTTATCAAATTTTCTATCAAATTTTTTATATGAATGTGAGACTCGTACAAACCCACAAGTGTGTGAGTCTCACGCCCACGTAAGAGATGCCCACACAAGAGGTTTAGTCAAAAATTTAATAAATTATATAGAATCCAAAGATAACTCTTTTTGGTTGGGTTGCTCTTCTGAACTCACATTGAGGTAACAACCATCTATACAAGTAACGTAGAAAACCATACAACCCAATCCAAATGAGAGTGATACCTCCCATTACTGCAACAACAAATGAAAATTTTTAAAACCCAAAACTACTTCAATAACTACGAGAAGAACACAAGTGAATGAAATGCATTTAAGCAACAACTATTATCGAACACAAGAGAGTGACTCAATGTATTGAAAAGCATCACACCAGAAGTATATCAAAGAATCCTCGGTCACGCCCTCATTATCAACATCACATATCTTCTTGAAACTCTTATCAACAAGATTGTATCCTATGACTTTACCGGGTACATGAATCACTAGAAATGAGTCCTCTTCTTTTTCTTCCCTCACAAGTGTAAGCACAGCATATGCATAATGACTCGGATCCGTTGGCAGCCTCTTCATCATCCTAGGAAATGCAATACCTATCAAATCAAGATCAACACGGTATTTCACAGACCACCCCGAGTAATCTTTCTCCATCTCATAAACATTGAACCGAGTCATCAGACCATAAACTTGAACAAGATGCAAATGTCCGCGACACTCCACTAAACGCCAATTATCCCTCTCATCCACATCATTGCGCTCCGGACCTCCAATCATTGGCAAAACTCCAAGGCGTTCCTCATCGACATTGAAATACAACGAATCCCCCCAGTTACAAAACCAGTTAATCGCGCCATTCCAATAGACCCCGCCATGAACATACATAAACATATCTGCAACGAAAGGTTCACCAGAAGCTTTCCACGAACCAGTCTCCGATGAATATATCTCAATTTGAAAGTAACTCTGGTCAGTGTATGACTCACTAAACGAATCATAGTTAGTACACCAAACATGAACAACTTTGTAATGAGGCGATCTTGAAGGATCAAACGCTAGACTCAAGTTTCCAAGCGCAGCACAGGGTTCAGGAAGCGAAGTGAATTGTTTGGTTGTAGGGTTGAGAATATGATACTTTTGCTCATTCTTGCAACATATCAACCCTTTGCAAGAATTTATAATGCGAATGGCTGATAGACTTGGAAAGAGAGTTGGGTTTTCGATAGTTTCAAGAGGAATGAAATCGAGGTCGGGGACGAGTTTGTGTGTCGATGAGTGTAATAACAAGCCAGAGATAATATTCGGGTTGAGATTACGAATGCGAGCGAAGTAGGGGCTGGTGATGAGAGAGAGCCAGTGTTTGGATACGGACTTGAATTTTGGTAATGATGTCAGAGGTAGACGGGTTAAAATTTCGATTAAGAGATCGTCGTTTGCTGCAACTTGTTCTGCTGCTGATGATGATGATGATGATGGGTCTTGTTTGTGCATGTTGATGAGTTTGGCTGTCTTGTCTGCTTCGATGGAAAGAAACATATTTTGTATCAAATTAGAGGTGATTGGTAGGATATGAAATTCTTGGATTTGTTTGTATTTATATGAGGAGTTGTGTGTTTGGGACATTGAGTGGGACAACCGCGTATATGTTCTTGGACGGTTTGGTTGCTGCGCAGAACTTCACCTTGATGATGTAGCCCGACTTTTTGTTTAAAATATTATGAAAGATATAGAAATTCAACTAAGAAACTGCTATTCAGCGTTGTTCTTAGAAGTTGATAAAAAATTAATTTTTTGACTTTTTTAGTGACCTTTTTTTGATAAAAGTTGGATTGTTTTGGGTAAAAAAACTGATTTTTTTGGACTAAAAAAGCTGATTTTTTTCAGTAACTTCTCAAAAGACCCCACAATTGAGGTTTGGAAAATGTTTGCAAACCTTGGAACAGTTCAGTTTTTAATTTAATACACATTTAATTTAAATGATGGTGGGACGTTATTCAGTTTTGTGGGCTTACACGAGTCTTGTTTTGATATTATGCATGGTTTATTTTGTCGAATATTTTGTATATATTATTTATAAAAAAATTAAATCGATATAATAATTATAATTTATTCAATTTATTATATTTGTTATAAAAAAATGAATATGGCGTTCAATTTTTATTTATTTATTTATTTATAATAAACACCATAAATCATTTTTATTTTTATTTTTATAAATAAACAAATAATTTAAATTATTAAAAGAAAATCGGTGATAAACCCGCAGGAACCGAATAAACCATCCAATCGAGTCCATATTATAAACCGGAGGAACCCATTCACCTTTTTGCTTTTTTCTTTTTCTTCTGGAATTTGTTCTTCCTTATCAAATTCTCGATTCTAAGAAAATGAACGGTTTGTTTTTCCGGCTACTTTCGTGTATGGTGAAATACCTCTTTTACCCTTGTTTTTTGTACGTGCATCTTCTCATGCTTTGGGGGCAAGAATGTAAAATCACAAACAAAGCAAAGGAAAACCCTCGTCTGCGATGCGGAAGTGGACAAGCAAAGTCTTCTCCGACTTCGTCTCATGTGAGACAATAAAGGTAATTTTTATAAGAAAATTCCCCAAATCAGTCTTTGATTCCTGGATTTTCTCTTATTTTTGCTTTATCGATCCTTTTTACTGGTTAGCGATTTTGTCAATTTCGCTCAGTACTGTTTGTATTTTACGTTAAGTTTGTCAATCGTGTTACTTTACTTATTAATGTTATTTTAAAATAAAGTAATAGATTGTCATTTTTAACCTAAGGAATTTTTTAGTTCAAATTTTGTGTAGATGTGAAGATGGATTGAAGTTTGAGTAGGTTTGGGATGAGTTTTGATTAGGTTTTGTATAAAAGTTTCTAATATGAATGGGGGTATGCTCTATACTCCACTAGAATGACTAGAATGAGTTGGAATGAAATGATAATTTTTAGCCTCTGTTTGGGAAGAGGTTTTTGGGCTTTTTTTGGTTAAAATAGCCACAAAAGACAAAATAGACAAAATAGGCTATTTTAGCCACAACAAACAAAACATCATATCCAACCCATAATCATTACACTCTTCTTTCACAAAAAAAGTCAAAAAAGCCAAAAAAACCCTTCGTAAATTAAGTTTTTTAGCCTAGGTTAAAATAGCCAAAAAAGTCAAAAAGCCAAAAAGCCAGCCCACTTCCCAAACGAAACCTTAGGCTCCCTCTGCAGTTTCATGTGAGACAATAAAGGTAATTTTTATAAGAAAATTCCCCAAATCAGTCTTTGATTCCTGGATTTTCTCTTATTTTTGCTTTATCGATCCTTTAAGGTTAGCGATTTTGTCAATTTCGCTCAGTACTGTTTGTATTTTACGTTAAGTTTGTCAATCGTGTTACTTTACTTATTAAGGTTATTTTAAAATAAGTAATAGATTGTCATTTTTAACCTAAGGAATTTTTTAGTTCAAATTTTGTGTAGATGTGAAAATGGATTGAAGTTTGAGTAGGTTTGGGATGAGTTTTGATTAGGTTTTGTATAAAAGTTTCTAATATGAATGGGGGTATGCTCTATTTACTCCACTGGAATGACTAGAATGAGTTGGAATGAAATGATAATTTTTAGCCTCTGTTTGGGAAGAGGCTTTTTGGATTTTTTTGGGCTAAAATAGCCACAAAAGACAAAATAGGCTATTTTAGCCACAACAAACAAAACATCACATCCAACCTATAATTATTACACTCTTCTTTTACAAAAAAAGTCAAAAAAATCAAAAAGCCAAAAAGTCTTTCCCAAACCAAGCTTTTTAACCTAGGTTAAAATAGCCAAAAAAGTCAAAAAGCCAAAAAGCCAGCCTACTTCCCAAATGAAGCCTTAGGCTCCCTCCGCAGTTATTATTTCTTTATAGGCGGTGTTTGATTGGAGGATTTGATGAACGAAATGGAAAGGAAAATAGAAAGAAAAGGTGAAAGAATTGATAAGATTGGAATTCCAAACTATGTTTGGTTGAGTTGGGAAATGGAGAAAGAAAAGAGCCTGGCCTTGTTTGATTAGAAAGAAAAATTGGTAGAAAGCGAAAGTAAAAGAAAATGAAGTGAAAGAAAAGAAAATATATTTTCTTGCAAGCATTTGATTAAGATGGAAATTTTGTAAGAAAAATATAAAAAAATTTAAAAGTTTAGTTATAGATAACTCACACATTCAATTTCTCTTGTGTATTCTTGTGTTTTTTTTCCAAGAAATAAAAAATTAGTTACAATGCTAATATGAGTTGTACAAGAAAATTATTTTTCTTATACTTTCCACTACTTTCAAGCTAAACAAACTCATAGAAGTTAATTTTTTCTCTCTTTCACATTTTACTTTTTGATTCTAAACAAACTGAACCCAAGTGAGACCAAAAGACAAAAAGTGGGATTACATTTCCCTCTCATTTTCTTTTCCTGTGTTTTCTATTATAATCAAACAAAACATGGGATTGCATTTCCTTTTCCCTTTTCATTTTTCTCATCAAATCTTTCAATCAAACACAACCATAGTGGTGAATGATGATTCTATTTATAATATTTTTTTTAAAATTAATTTTTTAATCAATCAAATATGAGGATGCATATTTTGATAGAATGATTATTTCATTTTACTCCTTTCCAATGAACCATGGTCAGATTTCAAGATTTAGTAGTGAAGCTACTTTTTCCGAATAAATAAGTTTTGGTGGTCTAGGTAGCTTGGCAGTTTTGCAGTCGGTGGAGAGGCAATTCTTATCTACATAGGAGAAAGTCAAGAAAACAAGAATTAGACTGTTTAGATCAAAGTTATACTTCCTTTGTTACTTTTAGGCTATTATTGATCATTCATGTTATTAGTTAACAAATTTTAGTTTGCTCTTATTGTTCCTCACAAGTACAAGTTCATGTTGTTGATGTTTTTCTCTTCTTCCGCATTGTTCTCTTCACTTTTTTTAGATTCTAATAATGCTTTAATTTGTTTTTTGTTTTTGTTTTAATTTCGTGAGAAAAAATAGAAATCTAGAGTATATGAAGTGTGTTTGCCACTGTTAATGCCTGCTACAAAGTTGTTTGCCTGTTCACAGACATTTAATGTTTGTGCAATTCAACTTGTATAATTTTGTCTTGGTAGGGGGATTTGGGAAGGGATTTGACAAGGGAAAGGGAAAAGGTGTAAATGTAAGTATATTTTATTCACATTTCACCTACCTTTTTTATTTCCCTTTCTAAATCCCTCATCAAATCCTCTAACCAAACACAACATTACAGTCTTTCATAGTGTGATTGTTACTTTAACATTAGGCTTGCTCTATTTTATAATTTTTTACAATGTTTTTTCCAGAAAGGTCACCTGTATCCTCAAAATTTATTAAAATTCTGGTATCATATAACCACCATCGCAATGATCAATTCTTTTGTTCTTTCATTTTCACTTCGAGAAAACCAAACAGTTTTCTATACTTTACCAATACCAAATATCTTGGTTAGTATTTTGGAAAACCTTTTTGGGTTTTAGAAGCTAAAACCTATGCAATTTTCTTTATTTTCTTGCTTGAAATTTTTTTTTCTTCTTTCTATTCTAATTGGTGCCTGAATGATTTTCAGGGAGAAGTCCCTGCTGGTTTAAATTTCGCAGCAGGTATGGGAGGCCCTGTTATTTTTTTTATTCCACAAGTCTGCAACAATGGGCGGCGCAATCAGTACCCCTTTAACCGAGCAGCTTCAAAGTACTTTTCATCACCTAACTGATTCTCTATATATTTTGCAATCTTCTTTAAATTAAGGGTTGAGTTCATATTTGGTATCCCATAGCTACATTTTGTTGAGTTCCCTTATAGTGGCTTGGCTGGCCATATTAACCATTCACCAATATGACTAAGTATGTAATTTCATTTTTTGCAAAAGCACATGTGAATAGGGATACATCTAATTGGAACTATGTGAAAATCGGTACCAATCATGGTTATCAAAATCATCATATGGATCGTATCCTACTATCCGAAATTGGCAAACAGTTCCAAAGCATTGTAAAAATCAGTATTGTAGGAGGATCACTAGTAGAATCGTGTGGGGTAGTGTGGGATCATGGAGAATCGTATAGGTCGTAGGTAGGATCATTGGGTTGGTGATTTTTTACCTTATGGTTAATATTCATTATCTTTATTGATATTTATTTTTACCTTTTTTATTTATTTATAGAAAGTAGCTAGAATCTTTCAATCTGATCCATGAGAGAGAACCTCTCTTCGATCCCGCTTAGGATCTTGATTTTAACAACCATGGTACCAATGTGGTGCAAAACTTTCTTGAAGTTCTACAATTTATTTATTATACTCAAAGAAGTTCTACAATTTAATCCTTTTCTTTTGTTGCTTGTATTTTATTTTCTTTCCTTAGGTGATTGTATTGTTGAGGGTCAAGCTTATGAAATACAAAGTACTGAAGTGGATGGAAATGATGCACTAGTTGTTTACACTGCAGTACAGCTCGTGAAATGGCCATTACAGAACAAAGACTCCTTTTAATTGAGCATATTGGTTTCTTCATCATAGTTCCTACTAGAGCATCATTTTATAGAGCTCATGTACTTCCCAATCACAGCAGGCCGATATGCTTTATTTCCACCCAGCATTGGCCAGTTTGGTATCATTTTCATTTTTTGTTTTTATCTTTTAGAAAGCACACTACTTCTTTGGTGAATGGTTTTTGAAAAGGTGAGAATGTGAGATTTTGGGAACATTTCTATTGATTAGGTTGATCATGATTGATAGGACCAAATTTGATGTGTGGTGGTTGGGATCAAATCTAACATAGTGATCCTGAACCACCGAATATTTTTTCTTGAATCTGATATTTCATTCAAATTATTTTTTTTTAAAAAAACATTGAGTGCAGCGATAATACTGTTAAATTTAATGTAAAAGAGAGAAATACAGAGATAATAAATTGTATGTATTATGATTGATGTATGTTATCAATTACAAATGGTGAGGGGCTCCTTATATAGGAGATGTAGTGTAGCAGAGTCTTGTCGGACCCCTAAAAAGTCGCACCCTCAAAAGGTGTGCCCAATCTTTCAAAAGGCGTGCCATCAAAAGGCGTGCCCAATCCATAAAAAGGCGTGCCATCAAAAGGCGAACCCAAGTCATAAAAAGGTGTGCCGGACATGATGGCGAGGCGCGTCACCACATTGGCTTGCGCGCCCATTTTGTCGTCTGGCGTCAAGTGGCGCGCGATGCGCGTGTCTGCCTTGGCTATTTAACCAAGACGGAGGCTGAGGCGAAGGTAGAGGCTGAGACAAAAAACCTGTGAAAATCCTTTGAAAAAACTCTTCCGTTTCTGAGAAAGAGATTCTGGAACACTCTGTTGCCCAGAAAATGGCCTCGTCTTCCCGTGGTCTGCTCACTCTTTTTCCCGACCTCAACGAGTCAACAAGAGAGATAACTGGTGTGGTGGCCCATGAACCGCAACCAAACACCTCTGGTTTTGCTCCGTTGAACTTTCCGATGCGGTTGGTAGAGCAAAAAATGGCAGTGCAAACGGATATTGAAGCCAATCAGTATACTTTGAAGTCATGTGTGGAGACCATGACGGCAGTCACAAACTTGTCGCACCGGCTGCAGAGTAGGACAAATGAGGTGCAGCAGTTAAACGCCCAACTGGCTCTGCTCCAGCGCATGTATAAGGATGCGCGAGCAGAGATAAGTGTGTTAAAGGCGGAAAACAAGGAGCTGAAGCGGAAGGCACCGTTATGTTTCGATTTGGAGGTCCGCCATATGCTGTAGTGGAGGAGCAGGGTGGAGTGATCGTGCCCAGTGGAGTGGGAAACACGGAGGCAACACCGTCAAGGGCCGCCTAGGATGGAGGCAAGAAGAAAAGATCGGCGGAATAGGCGAAGAAGTGAGGTCGGTGGGTGGCCGTCGGCAGAAAAGAAAACAAATCTTTGGGTGTTGAGTTCCCTTATAGTGGCTTGGCTGGCCATATTAACCATTCACCAATATGACTAAGTATGTAATTTTCATTTTTTTTCAAAGCACATGTGAATAGGGATACATCTAATTGGAACTATGTGAAAATGGGTACCAATCATGGTTATCAAAATCATCATTGTTTTTTTTTTTTTTTTGTGTAAAATTGTGATCGGGGTTGATCCCTGAAATGAATAAAATATGGTTTGGTGGGCAAAGCTATATATATATATATATTTTATTGTGAAAAAGGGAACACAAAAAAGATAAGATAAATAAATAAAAATTCTATTTTGTGGTGAGGGAGTCGGTGAGGGAGGTGCAAAAGGTGATTAAAAGAAATAAATAAATAAAGAGTGTGATGATGGATATGGGTATAGATGTAATAAAGGAATGAAAAGAAAGAAATAAAAAAGAAAGAAAAGAAGAAAAGAAAATGGGTTTGTGCAAAAGTAGACAGAGTCGGTGCAATATATTATAATAAACATAGATATATATAGATATATATTAAAATAAAAGAAAGTTGAGTGGGTTGATTAAAAAAAGGATCGTGTGCTTGAAAATGAAAAATAAAGAAAAGAAAAGAAAGGGGATCATGTGGTGAAAGAAAAAGGAGCTGTGGGTTTGAAAAAGTAAAGTGAGAGAGGAATTTCGATGCAAGTTTTCTGACTCTTCTCCAAAAACAACACAGCAGTGGCTGTCCCTCGGGGGGTGCACGGGCAGAAAGAAAGCAAGGGTGGAGGCAAAGACCCACCACCATCGTAGTGGAGCATCTCTGCTGTGCTGCCCATCATCAGTCTCACACAACAAAGGAGGAGAGAAAAAGAGCCCCTGAGAGAGAATTTTTCCAATGCTGCTACATTGAGGCCATGCTGTTCTGGCATCAAATTGATCCGGCAACTTCACTGTTTTTGAATGAGTGATAACAGGAACATTCTTCAAATCATGCTGTGGTGTTGGTTTGACTCCAAGAAGGTGCTTAAATTGGCCAACAGTGTAATTAGAGAATCGAGGACTCATATCAGCTTTCCATCCAGCTCTGGGGTTTCCATTTACCAGGTTAATAATTGACTCCTGAAGAATCTTAGAGTTCAATTTTAGATGGGAAATCGGTTCAACTGCGACAGCCTGTAGTTGAGACGTGGAGATGAACCCCAAAAGTAGCAGAATCGCAACGTACAGCTGGGCCGCGGCCATTCCTCCCTCGAATTGACTGTATAAACGGGGAGGCGAGGACCTTGAGTGGATAAAGGCGGTGGCGTCGAGGTTGAAGTTGTGACTTTCCAAGAAGAAAAGGGCTTCTTCTCGAGACGCAGAAGCGATCTCGCAGAATGTGTTGATCAGATCAGCGTGGTTGTTAGGGTTTTCTTCTTCTTCTGCTTGCTTCTCCGATGGGTGATTGTAACCAAACTTCACACCGGAATTGCCGTCTCCCAGATGAACGCAGTGTTCGTGGAAGCTGCTGATAGGTCTTGCCAGGCATGCATCCCAACGGTCACTTTCTGGCATCGTCTCCGCCACTGTGTAGATCCCTTTAGAGTTTGTGAATGCCTGATAATTTAGAACTTCGCCAGATTTTGTTATGCAAAGAACAACCACCTCAGCACCTTCTAAAGCGTGATCTTCAGGGCCAATAGAAGAGTCCCCACAGACGTCACAAACGACTCTGCCATGGATTTCACCAGTCCAAGCTCGAACGCCGCCACACATCATGAGGAGGAGGATTGTAGAGAGAGAAAGTGACAGTGTCATTTGGACTGAGACTCCATTGTTGAGTTTCAGCATCTTCTTCATCACACTTTTGTGATGAGCTCTCTCTCTCTTTCTCTCTCTCTGTCTCTCTAGAACTCGAACTCGAAAATGGGGAGGTATGTGTAGAAAATAAGCGGACAAGGTTGAGGTCCGGCGGACGGCCAAGGCGAGGTTGCCGCCCGCCGTGAAGCGAAAAATACTAAGTGCTTAACCTTGCTCTGATACCATGTTAAATTTAATGTAAAAGAGAGAAATACAGAGATAATAAATTGTATGTATTATGATTGATGTATGTTATCAATTACAAATGGTGAGGGGCTCCTTATATAGGAGATGTAGTGGAGTAGGTGGTAGTAGGTGGTAGTGGTAGGTGTGTAGTAGGTGGTGGTAGGTGTAGTAGGTGGAGTAGGTGATGGTAGGTTTTAACAAATACCTATCTTGTGTTCTAAATAAAGAACATGCCTTTTTAATAGGGGTGAGTAGCGGATATCACTACAACAAAAAAGGTCTATGGTGACGAAAACGCATGACGAAAAAATATTTCGTCTCCAAATATACATGTTTTAGTGATGAAAATAAGATTGTCTCCAATTGTACTGTTTTTAGAGACGAAAACAAAATTTCGTCACCAAATGCTTAAAGAAAATAAAATAATAGGTGACGAGAAAAATTTTCATCTCTAAATTTTATTTTTCGTCGCAAATCAAATTCCTGCCCATAGAAATTTTGGTGAAAATTTTGGGCACCATATTATAGAGGAAAAGTTTCATCACCATTGTAAAAATTTTCAGAGACAAATATAATTTCGACACCTATAATTTTAGGGAACAAAACGACGCTGTTTTGTCTTCCCAAATCACTCTACCCAAATCACTCCTCTCTCGCACTCTTTCTCTCACTCTCTCACCCAGTCTCGTCTCTCTCTGGTCTGAGCTCGTGAAACATTCTCACCGATCTCTTCCTTGCCCTCACATGCACATGAGCATTGCCGGAAACCCTTTCTCTCCGTTCGAATCACACCACCGGAAGCCCTCTTCTCCGTTCGTTTTGCTTCACTGCTGCGAACCAATGGAAGCCCTCTTCTCCGTTCATTTCGCACCAGGTATCTTCTTTTCTATATATATATGTACACTTTTCGTGAATAAAGATTTGTATGCGATTTCCTTCAATTTTTTTTTGCGATTTCCAATTGGGTAAATTGTTGAATGCGATTTTTTCCTACTCTGTGTTGAGGTTGTGGTATGCTGGTCTGCTCTGATTTGAGGTTGTGGTTTCATTGATTAGCTGCTGTGAGGCTTGGTGGTTATTCTGAAACTTTGCCCATTTCAGGTGTTTGATCTGCTTGGAAAATATCCTAATATGATGAATGGGTTCAATGAATTTTTGGAGATTGAAATTTGATCTGCTTGGAAAATATCCTAATATGATGAATAGGCTTGGTGGTTCAATGAATTTAATCTGCTTGAAATTTTATGGTTGCTTAACTTGTTTGTTCTAGATATATTAAGGTTGTTTCTAATTAAGGCCTCTTTTGCAGATTGATTCCTTGCTGGTGTTATGAATAAAAGTATGTGACAGTTACCTTTTTCTTCATAATAAGAATAGTAACAGCTTTTTTTCCCTCCAGTTGCTCATCAAACTTGTCATTATAAAGTGCAGCATTTATTTCATGATTTATAACTGTGAATGGAGGAGTAGAACTATTTATTTCTTTTACTTTTTGACTGCATGGTTTAAGTAAAGTAAAATTTTTAAGCAGAAATTCGTAAATGATGGATGGATAGTTTGTAAGTCAATTGGTCACAACATGTAGACCCTCAATCTCTTGTCTTGTGAATAAACACAATGTCTAAATTTCTTATAATTTCAAAGTTTTGACTAGTTGCTTCATTGTCAATGCTTGAGTTAAATAGGATGATGTAATCTGTTTATTCATTCATTTGAGTAGTTAAGATCATTGGTTAATTTGCACATCTATCACATGTATATAGGATTTATTAGAATAACAAACTAATTAATGACTTTATGCTCTGTTTAAATTAAAGAGGGGAACAAATGGGAATAATAAGTTTTTTTTAATGTCTTTACACTAATTAAATAGGTACAAGATGGACAACATTTGATTCCTAGAAAAGCTATTTCAATCTGCTGTTTTGGCATTGGTAATGCATATTAAGAGGGTCAATCGGAAGGAAAATAGCAAGGAAGAGAATCCACTAACCAACGATCCAGTTCAAAGCAATCTCAAAGAAAAAATTTCATTCCCACACCAAATTCCCTCCCTTATTGTTATTAAGTTATGTTCTTATAGGTCTTTTTTTTGTGAGTTGCAAGTTGCTTTGTTCATTGTGGCAAAATTGTGTCCCCTGGGTTTAGCTGCCAATTCCCTTTCGATGTTTTCCATCTCCTCGCAACACTTCTCCATTTTCATTCTCTTCAATATCAGAATATTTTAAAGCTTGTTTGTAGTTAATGTTTTAGCGATAACTGAATGCACACATACTATATTACTATGCACAACTTGTGCATCAGACAACTGCCTAGGTGACTTGGGGGCTGTCACCATCACCTAGGCTCTTGCTATAGGTGATTTGAGAGTATTCCTTAGCAGACAGTGAAAACATCTGCTAGCTATTTCATCATTCATTCTTTATGATTTATGCTTAAGAGTCTAATTATTATTGTTTTTCAATTGAATTTGTGGTCAGGGTTCCAAGACTAAAAAATGGAAGCTTATTGTCAGAAACATTCCTTTTAAGGTTGACTTTGGCAACAGTCATCTTTATATGTATACTTGTATGCATATATGTTTGTACGTGTGATTGTGTGTATTTTGGAGAAGTTCTACCTCAAAGTCCCCCCACCCTCTTCTATCACTACTTTACTTTATAAATGTAAGGGTTCAATACAGTTCTCAAACTCCTAAGAATAAAATCTGATTCTGGAGGTCCACATTGGTCTATTGGTGATGACATAAATGCCAATATGGATGCTGGGTATCTGTCTTCAAAGGTCATTTGTCTCATCGAATCTCTTCATTACAGGTCAGTGGATCTTGCATGATGAAAGTTTTCTTCATGAAATTTCTCTAGTTTGTCTTGTACTCTTGAAATCACGTTCATGCTCTGAATAAGAACTAAAAAGGATTTTCAAGTATGATAAAATGTTAAAAATTGTTCTTAAATTCTTGAGCTTATTAGAAAAAATTCAGATGTTCGGAAAATCTTGATTTCTCTAACATAATGGAAATGCATCGCTATTTCTTATTATATGCAAGCATATTTGAAGTACAACTGTTTAGCAAGAAGGAAAATGCAACAAAATTAGCTGCTGATAGTTTCCAATAGTATATAGAAATGGTAAATTAGTGTAGTGGGGTTGTCTTAACTTGGTACTAGTGCTCGGGCTATATTGACCAAGTGGAACCCAAATTGAAAAGGTATGTTTGATAAAGGGCGTTAAGGATGCAAAAATGCGAAAGAGCCCATGAACCACCATATGGATGTCACGGCCAGCTTCCCTGTGACAATACACATAATGTAATTAGCAAAGGTAGGTTGGGAATTAGAGCCGAAAACGCCTTAAACTTAATCGAAAAAGGGTGTTAAGGGGAAGAAAATGCGAAACAGTCCCTGAACCACCGTACGGATGTCATCGCTAACTTCCCCATGACAAATAGGACTTGTGACAGAAGACAGAATGTAATTAGCATGTGTAGGTTGGGAGTTAGAGCCAAAAATGCTTTAAACTTAACCAAAAAGGGGCGTTAAGGGGACAAAAATGGGAAACGGCCCCCGAACCACTGTACGGATGTCACAACCAGCTTCCCCATGACAAATAGGACTTGTAACCACAAACGGAATGTAATTAGCACGTGTAGGTTGGGAGTTAGAGCCGAAAACGCCTTAAACTTAACCGAAAAAGAGCGTTAAAGGGGCGAAAATATGAAACGCCCCCCGAACCACTGTACAGATGTCACAACCAGCTTGAAAACTTACAGAACTAGCAAGGGACTCCCGGTTTGAAAACTAAGTCGAAAAGTACACTTTTTTACACTTAAGCTTCAAACTAGGCCATCAGGGGCAAAAATCGTGCAATAGCCACGAGACGGCCCGGGGAATACCTCAAACACCTTGGGAGGGACCAATGTGAGTTGTGAAAACTTACGGAACTAGCACGGAACTCCCGGTTTGAAAACGAAGTCGAAAATTACACTTTTTCACGCTTAAGCTTCAAACTAGGCCATCGGGGCAAAAATCGTGCAACAGCCACGAGACGGCCTGGGGAACACCTCAAACTCCTCGGGAGGGACCAATGTGAGTTGTGGAAACTTACGGAACTAGCACGGGACTCCCGCTTTGAAAACTAAGTCGAAAATTGCACTTTTTCACACTTAAGCTTGAAAATAGGCCATCGGGGGCCAAAGTCATGCAACAGCCACGGGACGGCCCGGGAAACACCTCAAACACCTCGAGAGGGACCAATGTGAGTTGTGGAAACTTACGGAACTAGCACAGGACTCTCGGTTTGAAAACTAAGTCGAAAATTGCACTTTTTCACACTTAAGCTTCAAACTAGGCCATCGGGGGCCAAAATCATGCAACAGCCACGAGACGGCCCGAGGAACACGTCAAACACCTCGGGAGGGACCAATGTGAGTTGTGGAAACTTACGGAACTAGCACGGGACTCCCGGTTTGAAAATTAAGTCGAAAATTGCACTTTTTCACACTTAAGCTTCAAGCTAGGCCATTGGGGGCCAAAATCGTGCAACAGCCACGAGACGGCCCAAGGAACATGTCAAACACCTCGGGAGGGACCAATGTGAGTTGTGAAAACTTACGGAGTTAGCACGGGACTCCCGCTTTGAAAACTAAGTCGAAAATTGCACTTTTTCACACTTAAGCTTGAAAATAGGCCATTGGAGGCCAAAATCGTGCAACAGGCACAAGATGACCCAAGGAACATCTCAAACACCTCGGGAGGGACCAATGTGAGTTGTGAAAACTTATGGAACTAGCACGGGACTCCCGGTTTGAAAACTGAGTCCAAAAATGCACTTTTTCACACTGAAGCCTGAAAATAGGCCATCGGAGGCCAAAATCGTGCAACAGTCACAAGATGGCCCGGGAAACATCTCAAACACCTCGGAGGGGACCAATGTGAGTTGTGAAAACTTACGGAACTAGCACGGGACTCCCGGTTTGAAAACTAAGTCGAAAAATGAACTTTTTCACACTTAAGCTTGAAAATAGGCCATCGGAGGCCAAGATCGTGCAACAGCCACGAGATGGTCCGGGAAACACCTCAAACACCTCGGGAGGGACCAATGTGAGTTTTGAAAATTTACGGAACTAGCACGGGACTCCTGGTTTGAAACTGAGTCCAAAATTGCACTTTTTCACACTTAAGCTTGAAAATAGACATTCGGGGGCCAAAATCGTGCAACAGCCACAGGATTGCCCGGGGAACACCTCAAACACGTCGGGAGGGACCAATGGAAGTTGTGGAAACTTACGAAACTTGCACCGAACTCCCGATTTGAAAACTAATTCGAAAAATGAATGTTAAATTGTATATTTTATGGATAAGATAATAATTTTCTAACTTGCATTTTTTTTTTTGTTTTTTGTGTTTCATTTTTTTGCAGATTCGAGATTTGATACGGACATGTTTGGTAATTTGGAGGGCAAATAGTAGCTCATTTTGTGTTTTTGTTCATATTACCTTACATGTATTTTAGTTGCATTGTAAATTTTATATTTTTGTTGGTATTACAGGGCATGTTAGGTAATCCGCCCTTGATATTTTATTTTTGTTGATATTAGTAGACATGTTTTGTTGTTGGATATTAGGAGATGTGTTTGGTAATTCGCATGCGGTTGATATGATATTTTTGTGGATATTAGTAGACGTTGTTTGTGAATATTATGAGACATGTTTATAATCCGCATGCAGTTCGTATTGTATTTTTGTGGATAGTGCTGAAATTCAATTGTGATGTTTATGAAAATGAACAGATTTTTGTATTGATTTGTAATAGATATTTTATTGAACATGTTATTGAAATGCGCAGGGAATTGTTATTGAAAAGAAAAAATTTCAAAAGAAAATAGTACTCCTATTTTCAAATTTTTTAATTTTTATTAGGGACGAAAAAAAAATATCGCTATTAGTTTTCAAAAAATATGACGAATAATTTTGTCACTAATGATATAATACGAAACAAATAATTTCGTCACATTTGCTGAATATTTCATCGCTAAATTGAAATATTTTGTGACAATATTTTTTGTCATTGAAGAATTTTCTTTTCTACTTATTTTAGTGACGAATTTTTTTGTCACCTTAATCCATATCATTGGTGAGGAAAACTTTCGTCACTAAAATTTATTTGGTGACGAAATATTTCGTTGCTAAAAACAATTAAAATAAAATATTATTTAGTTTTGGCAACGAAATTGATGTCATAGAGGATGAAAAATTCAACATTCAGCGACGAAATATTTTGTCGCCAAAAATCAAAAATAGGCGACGAAACTGTTTTTCGTCACCAGGTACTTTCAGTGACGACGTATAGGTCACGAACGTGGTGGAAATTTTTTTCGTTGCAGATCACTTTAGTGACGAAAATATGATGTTTGGAGACAAAATTAGTATGTCACCAAAGGTCTTTTTTGTTGTAGTGTATATCGATCCGCCAAAACCGACCGAATCGAACTAATCCGCCACATTTTGGATGGATGCGTGATGACGAGCGGACGGTTGCGGATTGATTTTCTCCAATCTGCCAAGTTGGTGGACGGATGGTAGATTTGAGATTCCTTTGGCCGCAACCGAACCGGCAAATCGCGAACACCCCTAGTAATTTATAAGACTTTGTGTTTTCAGTTTGTTTAAATATTCTGTTTGTGTTTTCAATTAAAAAAGAATTTAAATATTCTGTTGAAAAAAAGTTTTCAATTTGAATATCTTTTTTGAATTGAAAAAAATAAATGTATTATTTATCTATATTTTTTTTTGTTTTTAAATCTATCTCTAAAAATAATAAATAGAAAATATGATATATGCTTGTTGGTTTTTGTTTTCAAAAACAGATACAGATGTAACAATACAGAGACATACAATATCTACTATTACTCTGTTCATGGTTTTGGTGGTTTGAATTGTTTTTATATTTTAAGAACCACAAATTGTAATACTTTATGTGGATGAGACATGTTGTAATTGTAGTATGTGGATGAGACATGTAGTGCTTGTGATATTCTAAAGTTTCAAACTTTCTTACTTTGGAAGAGGCATGAAGTGATTGTAATATTTTTTTAAGTCATTAATTGTAATACTTTTTTTTTTTTTTTTCTTTTTTTTTTTGAGGAAGTGCACAAGTTGAATTATGTTGAAAATTTATAAAATTTTAAACCGCCAAACTGATTCGCATCCATCTGCCAAACCGCTAATCTGCTCAATCCACATCCGCCGGATTGGCGAACGGATGGCGGATTGGAGATCCTGTGGCCACAATCGACCTGCGCCCACCCCTACTTTTTAAGCTATGCTTCATTTACTTAGGTATCACTTAGTTGGCACTAGCATCTAATAAAAGAGAAATTAATTAAGATCATCCATATTCTGTTAACATAAAATTCAACAATGGTATGAATAAAACCAATGGCAGTGATATCTTCAATTCAGAAACATCAAAATCATTTCCTGAATCACATTATTGCAACAAAAATGTTGTAAGATTTCAAAACCCCAAACTACAAGAAGAAGAATGAGAACAACAAAAGTGAATGAAATGCTTTAAAAGCAACAACTATTGTCAAACACTAGAGAGTGACTCGATGTACTGAAAAGCATCGTACCAGGAGTATCTTAAAGAACCATCTTGCACGCCCTCATAATCAACATCACATATCTTCCTGAAAGTTCTATCAACGAGATTGTAACGTATGACCTTACCAGGTACGTGAAGCACCATAAATGAGTCCTCATCTTTTTCTCCCCTTACAATTGTGAGTACAACATATGAGTAATCATCAAGATCTATTAGGTGCATCATCTCAGGAAATGCAATTCCTACTGGATCAAGATCGACATGGTATTTCACAGACCAACCTGAGTAGTCCCTTTCTGTTAAAATTTACATCACCTACCACCCATTTACCATCACCTACCACCACCTACTCCTCACCTACTCCTCACCTACTACACTCACCCACTCCTATATAATGAGCCACTCACTATTTGTAATACACACAACATTCATCAATCAATAATATATATATTTTTTAACATGGTATCAGAGCAGGTTTAGAAACTAGTATTCGCGCTTCACCGGCGGGCGGCAACCTCACCTTAGCCGTCCGCCGGACCTCAACCTAGTCCGCTAAAATTGTTTACACATACCTTTACTCTTCTTCACCACCACATGTCCAAACCAGCTGCTGACTGTCCTCATCTCCCTCAGGCAGGTCCTCAGCATCACTTTCCTCATCCTTTTCTTCCTGATCCTTCCCGCGAGAAACATCATCAGCTGGAAACTTGCCACCACTGCCGCTGCTCCTTTCCCGGTGGCGCGTCCATGGCGATCCACCAAGCCCTGCCGCGCTCCCAACTCATCCATAAAGGATCATCTTCCCAGCCTCATCAGCAGCCTTGCAAGCCACAACAGTGGCGTCAATATCCCCTTCTCCCTGCAAGCACACGTAGACACGCCATTCTGGACAGACACGCCATTCTGGACCACATTTTCACCAGACGTCCTCTCTATCTCTGGGGGCGCAACAAGGTACTTGCTTGGCAGCTTCAACTCCCTGTCATCCTCAAGCATTCCCGCATAACGCATTTTAGGGACTCGACCGCGATCCACTTTGTCAAAGTCTTCATATGCAAGTGCCTTAGCAAGCATCACCATATGGTCTGCTCGAACTTTGAGAGTCCCCACAGCATCACCATCCACCACAGGACCCTCTGCTTTCCCGCTCCCGAGGGACAGCCACTGCTGTGTTGTTTTTTGCGACGAGTCCGCCACACTTGCATCGACATTCGTCTCTCTCACTTTACACTTTCCACCCCACTATCCTTTTTTTAACCCACCCCCTCAACTTTCTTTTCTTTCTTTCATTTATATCTATATATATAAATCTGTTTTTTATATAATATTGCACATGGGTCTTCTACCGAGCTGGTGAAAATGCAGGCACATGGGTCTTCTTTTTTATCTATTTCTTTTATTTTTTTTATTCTCTTTATCTGTCTCACCCATGTGTGTGTCTCTCTCCTCACGCACATTCACCTTTCTTTTAATATTTCCACCCATTTATTTTAACATTTTCTTCCACTAACCCACTGCTTCTATATTTTATTTTATTACCTACCCATCATCTCTTTTCCCTTTTTCTTCCCACCAGTTTCCATCAACTTGTCTTGTTGTTTGAATTTTCCTCTTTTTTTCTTTCTTTTGCTTTTTTTTTTTTTTTTTTCCTTTGACAAATTTTTCTTTTTCTTATCTCCGTATTTATCATTTTCGTTTTTCCTATATATATCTATATATATCAAAAAAAAAAAAAAAAAACAAAAAACAAAGCAAAACAACAACCAACAAACACAACTGCACACCACACTCATTTTATTCATATCAAGGGATCAACCCCGATCACAATTTTACAAAAAAAAAAAAAAAAAAACCCAAAAACAACAACAAACAAAACAACCACATCCACAGGAAGGATTTTCTTCTCTACTCTGCCGCCGGTCTCTTCTTCTTGCCTCCGTCCTGAGCGGCCCTTGACGGTGTTGCCTCCGTGCTTCCTAGACCACCAAGCAAGTTCACTCCCCCATACTCCTCCACTGCAGCATATGGCGGCCCTCCAAATCGGAACATCACGGTGGCCTTCCGCTTCAGCTCCTTATTTTCCGCCTTCAGCACACTTATCTCTGCTCGCGCATCCTTATACATGCGTTGGAGCAGAGCCAGCTGGGAGTTTAACTGCTGCACCTCATTTGTCCTACTCTGCAGCCGGTTCGACAAGTTTGTAACCGCAGTCATGGTTTCCACACATGACTTCAATGTATACTGATTGGCTTCCACATCCGACTGCACTGCCATTCTTTGCTCCACAGACCGCATCGGAAAGTTCAGCGGAGCAAACTCCGGGGCACTTGGTTGAGGTTCCAGTGCCCCCGCTCCAGTTATCTCTCTTGTTGACTCATTGAGGTCGGGAAAGAGGGTGAGCAGACCGCGGGAAGATGAAGCCATTTTTCTGGGCAACAGCGTGTTACCGAGTGTTACAGAGTATCTCTCTCAGCAAAGGACGAGTTTTTCAGGGGATTTTCAGAAGTTTTTTTGTCTGCCTCCGCCTCAGCATCAACCTTGGTTAAATAGCCAAGGCAGCCACGCGTATCGCGCGCCCCTTGCGCCAGACGACAAACGGGCGCGCCAGCCAAGACGACAAACTCACGTGCCTCGCCATCATGTCCGGCACACCTTTTGATAAATTGGGCACGCTTTTTGATGGCACGCCTTTTGACAGATTGGGCACACCTTTTGAGGGTGCGCATTTTTCAACGGTCCGACATGACCCCATAAACTGTCCCGACATTGATTCCGGTTAGCTTTTCCAGTGTCCTCTACAACGTTATGACACAACCATCCAGTGTCCTCTACATCGTTATGACACAACCTTCCAGTGTCTTCATCAACGGTCTGACACGACCATACAGTGTCTCCTATCCTTTTTTTTATTATTTTTTTACTTTTATGTATTTTATTATTTTGTTCCTCTCTCCAAACTCAAGTTGGTTAGTTTCTATCCTCCTTGAGTTTGCGGGGGACTGTTAAATTTTACATCACCTACCACCCATTTACCATCACCTACCACCACCTACTCCTCACCTACTCCTCACCTACTACACTCACCCACTCCTATATAATGAGCCACTCACTATTTGTAATACACACAACATTCATCAATCAATAATATATATATTTTTTAACACTTTCCATCTCATAAACATTGAATCGAGTCATTAGACCATACACTTGAACAAGATGCAAATGGCCTCGAGACTCCACGTAACACTTATATTCCGTCTCATACTCATCATTCCCTAGACCTGGGATCATTGGCAAAATTCCAACACGTTCCTCATCGATATTGAAATATTTGGAATTCCCCCAGGTACAGAACCAGTTAATTGCACCATTCCAATAAACCCCGCCATCAAGATGCATGAACATATCCGCCCCCAAATGTTCCCCAGAAGCCCTCCAAGAGCCGGTCTCGGATGCATATAGCTCCATATAAAAATAGTAGTAGCTGTTGTAGTGCATAGGGCCCCAAACACAGACAACTTTGTAGTGAGGTGATCTTGATGGGTCAAAGGCTAGACTCAAACCTACGTGCTTAGGATGGGGATCAGGAAGCGTAGTGAATTGCTTGGTCAAAGGATTGAGGATATGATACTTGTTGGTAGTCTTACAAAGTATTAATCCATAGCAAGAATTTATAATGCAAATGTCAGATAGACCTGGAAAGGATATGGAAGTTGCGTTTTTGCCGGTGTTTACAGGCATGAAACAAAGATCGGGGATGTATGACGATGAGTGCAAGAACAGGCCAGAGACAGTGCTTGGGTCAACATTTCGGGTGCGAGTGAAATGGGGACTGCTGATGAGAGAGAACCAGTGCTTGGATACAGACTTGAATCTTGGGAGGGATTTCAAGGGTAGGCGGATTAAGATTTCGGTTGAGAGGTCGTCGTTTGCAGCAACTCGTTCTGCTGATGATGAAGTGTATTCTTCGGGCATAGGGGAATAATCGAAGAGTTTGGCTGTGTTGTTTGTTTCAATGGATAGCATTTTGTATCAAACAGGAGTGAATTGAGAGAGGTTTGTTTTCTATTTGTACATATATATGTGGAACTCGAATTTCTCTGTATGTGTGTATATATATGATGAGTCTCTGTTTGAGACATTGCGCGTTGTTGAATGTTCTTTTGTTGAAATGGGCAGTTGACAAGGCCAACTGCTTATCGGTTGCGAATGGTTGAATATAATGAGTCTGTGTCGACTTTCTTTCAAACAATTTAACTGATGATGTCAGCCAATTGTATTAGAAAACCTAACAATTAATTAACGGGAGTCAAATTGTAATGAGATCATAAATTTTATGGAGGAAAATGTAATTTCCAAAACTTGATGAAAGTATTTGTATTAAAACTAAACTTCAGCGGTATAGGTTTAATTTACCCAATAATAAAATAAACGCCGTTCTTTTTGTTTTGGGTAATCTCAATATACACCACAAATAGTGTTTGGATATAAATTTTCGAATAAAAATTAAATATTTAGATATAAATTTATGAACATAAAACAGTTGCTCGGATATAAACAATTGAATGGAATGTATATTTGAAAAATTTATTTATGTTCATAACATTAAATCCGAACATTCGACTTCGGAAGTTTATATTCGAACACCATTTGTGGTGTATACTGAAAGTTTGTATAGTATGCAAATAGAATTTTCCTTTTTCTTTTATGGGTAAATTACACGAACTTTTTATGAAATTTAGAGAAAATACAATAAGTTTTACAATTTTAACATAATTATACTGACCTTCTTTATAATAAACAAAAATAATCAAAACTAATACAGATAATATAGAGCACAAATATAAACAAGATATAATATATATTTGAGTGTAAAAGATATGACAATATCATTTTTCCATCTATATGACTAAGAAATTTCTATTGAAAAGCAGCTATTAAGTAAATTAAAATTTTAAAGGAATTCAATATATTTGTGCCAAACTTGTGAAATTATTGTATTTTTTCCCAATCTCAAGAGAAATTAGTATAATTTAGGCTTCTTTTCTTGAAAGAAAAAGTTTAAAGAATAATAAAAATTAAAATGACAGAATAATGGAAATTAGTATAACATTTTTAATAAGCACCATTGATACACATGCCACTCTAGGTTAGTGACACTCATATGTGCCACAATAGCAACACTTTGAGTGCCATTTTAGACACCATTAGTGACACTTAAAACATATCTTGTAACATTTTTTAAATGACACTAGATTTCTTACTAGTGTCACTTAAAAATGTTACCTTGACTTATTAGTTGGTTGCCACTAAAAATATAAATAAATAAAAGCTTACAACATTAATTCTACTAAACATTTTCCTTTATAAATAAATAAAATTTCATTTATATAAGGTAAATACAAAATCCATGAAATTAACAAAATACAATAAAAACAACCATTTGTAATCTAACTAAAAATATTTCAAATAAAAAATTACAACTCAACAGCCTTACCTATCTTAAACAATTATAAGTATGTCAATACCATTTGGATTAAAAACAAATGTTGATTTCTTTTCACCGACTTCAAGTTTTGCTCCAACAGTCTTGAAAGAACTCTATACTTCTCCATATATATCCTTGACATGTAAAGATAACGCCTATTTGTGCTTCTATTTCTTCAATTGTACTTTGTTGCATAGTTTATCCTCTAACAATTTCATTGTCTGCTCCCTGAGATTTTACAAATGAAAAAAGTATAGAACAATAAGTAAAATTAGGAAGTTACACACACATATCAAATAAAAAAATAAAATAAAAAAATAGTCACACCTCTTTGAGGCATTTTATCAAACATGCAAAGGCTAATTGAAAGATACCCAAACAATGAAAAAATGTGTATATATATATATATTTTAAGTTTCTTTCCATAAAAAATATATAAGAAGAGAGGGGAGAGAGATAACCTCTAGTGGTGCCTTAGTGTGAAAGTAGAAGTTTCGATTGGAACTAAATAGATTTCTTAAAAAAAATGTATATAAATGAATAACTTTTTCTTAAAATTGATGTACATATTAGATTTAGAATAATCTAGTGGAATCTCTAAAAATTGATGTATATATTAGATTTAAAATAATCTAATGAAATCTAATCAAATGCCATTACAAGTAAATGGTTCCATGGCATTTTTTAAAACATGCCACTACAGAATATTTTTTATGGTACTTCATGAAAAGATGACACTAGGTTAATGCCACTATAGCAAAACTTGCCATTAGATGATATTTTCATGACATTTTTTAGAAAATGACACTAAATTAATGTCACTAAAAATCACATTTTTTTGTAGTTAACTACAAAACGTTGTACAACACATAAAAGTATTTATATCATCATTTTTTTTTTGTACTTTTATTTTGATATTGACTGAGAATTTTATATATGAATTTAATGATACTTTTTAATTTTTGGGGGTTTTTTTTAAGGTCCCTGGTATTATGATTTTATAGCATAAAGGACACCAAATATTTTCATAATGTCTAAGGTCCCTCAACAATATTTTCATAATGTCTAAGGTCCCTCAGCCTTGATCCAGAGAAATTTCAGCCCAGAGAAATTTTAGTCCAGAGAAAATTGGTCCAGAGAAATTTGGCCCAAAGAAATTTCAGTCCAGAGAAATTTCAGTGCAGAGAAAATTGGTCAGAGAAATTCTGGCCCAGAGAAATTTCTCTGGACCAAATTTCTCTGGATGAGTTTCTCTACTTTTCTTCTCATTCACATCCAAATCATTATGATTCATTAGGTAAGCAACATTGTTCAACTAAATTCAACTGGAAAAATTCCACATTGTAATATGTAAGCAACATTAGAATGGGATAATAATGACAACTTACCAGCACTAGAGAAATTCTGGAAAAATCTGAGTATTTCTCTGGCTTGTCAGAGACTGGAAAATACCTCTGGTTAATGGCAATCAAATGATTCCAATTTCTTGTAATGTTAACGATAAAAAACTTGAGATGTTTGTACACAAATGTAGTTACAGCTACAGTTCCAATAGATCTTTTAGTTTTGTATTTCAACTGACACAATCTCAATGTCTTTCTTCTAGATTATTGTTCAGATGATTCATACTTGCATTTTGGTCTTTTATGACTCTTTACTCTGTTTTTTGCATCTTCTACAGCTTTGGGTTACAAATATCTGAATTTTTTTAATTAAAAAGAAATTTTTTTGAAGAGCAACATTTTTCAAGCAATGCCAGACCAACATAGAATAAATGCTCTGACATTACATAATTCAACACATGCTAGTGTTGGAGTTTAGTAGGTGGATTCCATGATACAGAATTATTGATAATAGATTTCTAAAAAATGTAATGATCTTCTGGATTACACTCTTATTCTCAACATAATTAAGGATAATCTCTCAACAATTTTTGCTACGGATACAGTAAAAATTCACAGAACAAAGTGGTGTAGAACCCACACCCACCCTTGTATCTATGCTGCAATTTTGTTGGTGTCCCGTTTGCATACTTTCTCATTCATATATGTCTATGCCCCAGGTTTTGGCAGGTCGATTGGCCCGGTGCTTCCTGTCGATGCTCTTAATCAGATCCATGTCCTCTTTGGCTAACTCAAAGTCGAATATCTGCATATTCTCCTCTAACCTCTCAATTCTTGATGTCATTGGGATAACTGCTGTGTTCCTTTGTATACCCCATCAGCGAATTATCTGTGCCACCGTCTTTTTATATTTCTCAGCCAAACCCTGACACCACATAAGCGAGAAAAAAATTATTCATGCTACATCATCATTAACATGTTACTTTATCATTCAATTACAAAATATCGGACACAGAGAGAGAGTTAGCCAAAGCACCGCCGAGGGGAGTGTGGGCAGTGACGCAGATGCCATGTTTTTGACAGAAGTTAACAAGAGATTCACACTGCAAGTATGGGTGTAACTCTATCTGGTTCACTGCTGGCTTCACTTTTGCATATGCCAAGCAATCTCTAGTTAGCAAAATCCCACAGTTGCTGCAGCATCCCAAAAATTATTATCTCATACATATATATAGATGAATACTTTTATAATCAGAGAAATTCAATTTAAAATAGGTCAAAAACAATGTGTCCCCTTTTCGTTAGAAATTATAGATGAATACTGAACATGATATTGCTATTTGACCCTCACGTTATAGCCTTTATTTTATTTGGTCCTTGACTAATTATAAAATGAAGACTTCTTGTTCTATTCTATGTAATGTTGACTTGTCTTGAATGACCCTTGTAATGAGATGCAACAACAAAAAATTTGAGATTATTGTAATGCAAAAGAGCAAAGTTGTTAATCATCGACTTGTCAGTGTACCGTTTTTGTTATTGGTAACGTTACATTTGCACGGGATGGTAGTAGACAAAATTACTAATATTACATGCAAGAGACCACTGTGATGAAGAGAAAGAAAATAAAAGCAAAATAACAACTGATTTAGACACAAGAATGTTACGTAAGTAGGACTCTTTTAAAACCGATACACTTCTAATTTTATAATTTATAATTAAAATCAGTTTGATACTATAAGAAAACTTTATTTTTGTAAAAATTGCAACACATTCAACATTAGTCAAGGTTTTGGGCAACAAGATTTTTTTTTTTTTGAACCACAAGAAAGAATGCTCTGAGATGTCATCACGGCATCCAAGGCCCAGGTTTGGTGTACCAATAGCCTGATTTAACCCAATTTATAGGAAGAGATTCACCACTGAGGCACCAACGGAGTTCAACCAGACGCCATAGACGAGCCCAGGAGTTGATCGGAATACAGAGCGAGGTCTCCGAAGTGAACCACTGGAGAACCCAGCTTTTCGCTCCCCCTAGGAGTCGAACTTGGGTCACGCCTGTAGAGAAGGATACCTTCTCCACTAGGCCACCACCCCCGGTGGTGGGCAACAAGATTTGAATTCACGTTTTCTTGAAAGAATGAGATACCAAGTTAAATCACTGATTATTTTCAAAACCTAAGCTATTAGAAATTGGGTTAAATAATATTAATATTAAACTAACATGGTGTATATATATCTCTAAATCATGAAAACACACTTCACAAAATATATGAAAGAATAAAATGCAATACAAT